ATTAAATAATAAGGAAAATAATATAGTATTCTAACCTAGGTTATCTAACGTTGAAAAAACATGAGCAATATTGTAATAAAAATATTTTACAAAACATCGAGTGACTTGAAACGAATATGAATGGACTTACATCACTGTTAAGAAAACTAGAATAACTGAAATACTATACAAACAAAAAACATTTCCCTTAGGATTACAAGGGAAAACACTTTTTATAAGGTTTCATAAATGTTACATGTTTCAAATTTTGTTCTCTGTTGCGTTTATGGAATATTATATTTTATTAGTATATTATATTATACATATTATAAATGTAAATATATTATATACGTTAATTTAGTAAGTTTTARACTTTAGTAGATGTRTATATTATTTATTTTATATTGAGCGTAGATACTAGTTACTAAATTAAGGGGATTGGAAGCGGTGATTTTCTGTCTTTGTCTAACACACGTGCAATGAAGGATTATAGACCTGTTCTATTTCCAACGTAACGATTGATATGATGAAGCGATAAGAATTCTGAAAACAGATTTGAATTTGTCGTCAAGTGTACTTGAGATCGACTTTCCCACATGTTTGATTTTTTGATTTAAACAACTGCAAAAATTTAAATATGTAAWTTTTTTAATTACTCTTTTTTGATACATCGTTTTTTGGATTTTGGGGCGATGATATCAAAAATGTGAGAAAGTCGATCTCAAGTAGACTTGACGACAAATTCAAATCTGTTTTCAGAATTCTTATCGCTTCATCATATCATTCGGTACGTTGGAAATAGAACAGGTCTATAATCCTATATTGCACGTGTGTTAGACAAAGACAGAAAATCACCGCTTCCAATCCCCTTAACACCTAAATTCGGTCGAAATGTTTTTTGAATTTATAGGTTATTATTATCWTAGAATTATTTAGTATGTGGTAGATAGTTCTATATTATACAAAAAAATATGTAAAATAAATGTATGATATCATGTTCAAGTTGAATGTTTCAATTACATATRAAAATATGAAAATTTAAGTATCCATATATTATATCATATTATGTTTATTCGTGAA